TGGACAGCAGGTATATGAGTAGAGGCTCATCCCAGATCACCTAGTGGAGTAGATATCTCCCAACACTTAAACTCAGCTTTTTTTTTGTTCTGTTTCAGTGTTGATAAATACTCTTTAGTGTGTGATTATTTGATCAGCATATTCAGTGTGAAGGCAGTTCAGTCAAATCTCTGAAATGAGTCAGCTTTCTGACTCAAATCATTGAGCAGAATTGGATGCCTTCAAATGGACTTGATGGGCGTTTGCTTTTTTACTGAGTTAAATCAACAATCCATATGGAATTAATATTCCAAATCAGCGATCAAAACTGGATTGGACCCTTTTCACACAAGGCTAACATTCTCTCCTTCTCTGCTTTTTCAGTGCTAACAGCTAGGTAAGAGTTGGCATCTCACAAATTATGGGAATCCAGTATGGAACAGTTCATCATCCATAAATCTAAGGCAAAATAATAAGTGAAAGCATTAAGTCAATGTTGTATTATGTCCCACTAGTAATTGTGTTGGTGAAACTGAATACTTATCTGTTTATGCTGTTCACAGAAATATGGCCAGGGTAGGAGAACACCTTCTGAAAAGGCATTCCATGGCTTACTTCCCTGGATCCTTGGCCTAAATAAAAGAGGATTGGGATTATAAAAAGTACTTGTCACTTTGAAGACTGCCCAGGAAACTGAACTTCAGAACTGACCTCCTGCATAGGAGAAATGGGGTTGAAGATATTGACTATCTCTCATATTATATGTTCTAGTCATTATACTAGGAAGTGAAGCAGAAGTTTCCAGATCAAATATCAGTCCATCAATTTGAAATTCACATTTCTGTGCAATGGTTAACACATTTCTTCTCTAGTTAATGCGTCCACTTCCATACATTTGGCTGCCAAAAACAAAGAGGATTTTGTAAAAGCTGATGTCATCTTCTGCCCAATGGACAGAATCTTAGTTGCATTTGAGCAATAAAGTCTTCAATTTCTTTCCCCGTCTCCTGCCTCTTTTTTTCTCTGTTATGCCATTGTTCCTTGGGTTATGTTGTTGTTATGGCAACAGCTAAGATAATAAACTTGTAATAAACTTGGCATCAAATTTATCACCTTGTTAGATTTGAAAAACTGTAGGCTAAACAGCAAGATCTCAGCACCAGTCTGCATGAGCACTTCCACGGGTGGTATGGTTTTGGTGATGGAGGCGATGCATTTTGGAGCAACTGAACAACTGTCTTCTGCATGTGGTATCTTAAGTATGCCCTCTTCCCATTAACATCATTGATGTCCGCCTGTGGGAGATGTGATCGTTTTTGAATTTTCTTTTTCTTTCTTTCTTCCTTCCTTCCCTTCCCCCCCCCCTCTCTCACAGACACACACACACACAACCTGTGCATGTGGAAGGGGACGTTCATTTGGCTCTTTGGTTTAGTTGGGGAAATAAAGACTTCTGCTATGTGGAGAGGATGCAGAACTCTCTCAGCAAGTATTCATTCAAATTCACTTGGCTCAACACTCATCAGCCCACCACAGGAAAGGACTACCCCTGGGCTGAATGGTTTGGGGCTGGCTAGTGAAATTCATTCTCCTGAATGAGAGTGATTGCTCTGAAGTGCTTACATGACAGAATAAGTCTTCAATCTACTGTATGTGTGAAAGCTCCTCTGCATTTTAAATATGGTTGCAGTTCTCTCTTGAGGTACATGAGTTATTTGCATGGCTCGAGCAACTTGATGTTCAGTCGCATCCAGGTGAAATCCGTGGCAACATTTGCATTATTTTTAATGACTCTGGGACATTTTCTAGGGTTGGTCCTCCTTTTCACAGCAGCAGATGGTATTGCTGCCACTTCCAAGAGTTATCCATTAGTTTGCTTGTCTGATATCTTTGCTGCATGCACATACTATTCACATACACCACCGGAAAGTGCTTCACCTTTAAAAAGCAGGGAGATGATCTTTGCCTTTCTCTGTGTTCTTGGATTCACGTTCTTGTTCCTATTTCTGCCAAAAGAAGGATCTCATGATAGGATGCTTGAAAATATGCAGCCAATTTCAGCCACAGTATATGGGGCAGGGATCTTTGTACATTGGATCATCCTCTCATGATTAATATTTTACTCCATACATCATAGAATAGGGTAGCAGCAAATTTACAGGGATATGGGAAACTATCAAGTTCATTGAAATATATCCTTCACCTGCACTGACCCAACCATTTTGAACTGGAAATTTAACTATCCTATCTATAGATTTATGCATCTGATTTTCATTTGTATTAAATACTAAATTAGCAAAGCAATTCATTGTATACAAGTCTGCCTTTGCAGTTGCTAAATGGACATTTTAAGATAAAGCACTTGTTTTAATCTCTGATCAAATAAGCAGTTACTATTGTCTTCTATTGTCTTGCATACTGTAATGGTTCAAACTTTTCCTGTGCTCTTTCACCCCAAATTGGGAAACCAGTGCTCAGCAAACTATGGGAATAGTAGACCCCTTGCTGTTTTCTGACCTTCTGATTTCTTTAGTCTTTTCATTTGCTTATAGAGAATGGTACAAAGATGTAGTACTAGATGATTTCCATACAAATAATATATTGGATGAATCTAATTTTTCTTGTGCAACTGGGTAACCTATAAAATTAAAATAAAAAAAATATAGGGAAGACTTAGAGTGATTCTTTCCCTTCCTGTTTATTACTCTCTCTATACCAAAATACATGTTTTCAAGCAAACCTCATGACTGTATCTAGGAAAATCAAAGCATACTTTCATTCAAAACATGTACAAGAAACATATTAGCCTGATTTCCAGTTAGTATATATGTATAGTGCAATTGAAATCTGCAGTTCTAAAGCAGGATGGCTAAGTTTTACTTTGAAGGTTGCCAATAATATAGTTGGAAACAATTCATTAAAAAGACATAATACCTAGGAGGTTAAAGAAATTCATGCCCATTCCTACTTGCAATTTTCACTGAGGTTATGACAGTGTTTGCGAAGAAACCATTCAGTTTTGCAAATCTTAGAAAACAGTTTTAGAATTTCAGCTATAAATAAGCGTACCTTAAGAAATGTCTCAGCACTGTGAGATGTATTTCCTAGTAAAAATGCACATTTAAATTTTGAACATAATTTTCTACAACAAAACACTATTTAATGGTTTATGCAATACTGTATCTTGACTTTAAGGAGCTCAAGACAGTTTATATTGGTTCACACAAACACCTTTCCCCAATTTATCCTTGCAGAGTCATTTAAAGTGGTTAGTTGCACATCACCTACTAAGTTCCATGGCTGAGCAGGATCTTGTCCTTGGGACTCCCCCAGTCCCAACCCAATACTCTGATTCATCTCTGATTTCCATTATGGTCTAGAACAGCAATTAAAAGTTTTCTGAAAAAGTTCTTTAACCATAGTAGAGGTAAAGCACTGTTGTTGCTGTTAAGAGATGTTTTCTGAAGAGACACATAAAATGACCGGCTCAGTCAAGAAACCCTGAAAAATTTTCCTTCCAAGCAGTGTTGCAAACAGAGTTGGAGAAGGTCTCTCCTGGCCTCTCTCTCTTTTTTCTGGAGACTAAGACTCCTGGAGACTAAGTTAAAACTGTACTAGGCAGATCTTGAAAATGTCCAGAGTAGGGAGGGAAGGAAGGAAGGAAGGAAGGAAGGAAGGAAGGAAGGAAGGAAGGAAGGAAGGAAGGAAGGAATAGAAAGATTAAAGGCACTCCAGACAATTGCTCATTCTGTAATGAGTTATTACTTCAAAGGTCATTAGAAAGGATAAGGGCACCCATAAAAGCAGCCTGGCTAGCATACTTTCCCTATTGAGATGATCATTATTGGCTTATTAATCTGCAATAATGTTGAATTATACACAGCAATAAATAGGAAAAAGGTTGACTTGGAGTTTTAAGCATGCTATGGATCTCCAAGTGAACATTGTGAAGCAGCAAGACTCCTTTGGAGTGAGTGGCACATCCTCCAACCCATTTTATATCATTCTGTTTCAACTTGCCCCCCACCCCCACCCCCACCACACACAAGTAGTTTTGTTCAGTTCTGGCATTCTTGTTATATTCTCCAAGGAAGAGTACATTTGTGAGCTGGGTTGCCCTGATCAACTGTTAAAGAAAAAAGTAAACAAAATTAGTTACTGGAATATCCTAAAATTCTGAGAAGAATAGCGGCACGCGTGTGTCAGCCTTTGTAAAAGCCTCTTTGCTTTCCTCTGTGTAAATCTAAAATGAAGCATTTTAGATTTACACAAGAAGAATGTATGGGCTGGAAAGTTAAAATGCCAAAGCATATCGAATCTGCCCTGAGTGATCCAAAATACAGACATCCTTGCTAGGTCAGTTTAAAACATCTTGGCAGCGTGGGTGTACTTAGGATCACACACCTGTGCTAAGGAAATGCAATGAGCCATTGTAGGTGTTAGGAGGTCCTGAGAAATTAGCCAGCAGGACTTTCAGGATTGTGTGTTGCTGTTGTAAAACTTAGTCTCAGCTTCATTTTTTTCCAGTCAGGGCAGAGTGTGTTTACCAGCCTCCTTTAAAACAAAGCAACCCCCCCCCCAGTGTATTTTATTTTATCATTATTTGAGATCCAGTGCATTGCATTTTAAAGAAAGTTGTGTTTTATTTTGAAAGTAATACCCAATTTGTTCGTCTTCGAAATATAGAAGCAAAAATACCAGCAACAATAGAGGCACACATTCTTGAGAGTAAGAGCGATTGAAATCATTAGGACTTCCTTCCTAGTAAAGATGGGTAGGCTGAGGGTACAGAGTACTTCCTTCCTCCCCCCCCCCCCCATTTATGCTTACTTTAGAGCTGCAGTTTTGCTCATCCAACGCGGCATAACTTCAGCGCCTAAACCTAATTCTTGTAAGCTAATCTTGAGGCCGAGAGGCTCCTCCGAAAACGAATCCCCCGCTATCTTTCGACTCCTTAAAAAAAAGATGGATGGATGGATAGATAGATAGAAGATAGAGATTTTCCACCTAGAACGATTATAATGATAAAGACGCCGCAGCCGGATGACCACAACCAGGTTTGCGTCGCTCAGGCCGATGACAGAAACGGTACTACCAAGCGCCCCCAACTTTAAAACGCGTGAGCAAATATCCCCGTTCTTGTCTGATCTCTCTGTCCCACATCTTCAGTTCTTTTGGAAGTGGGGCAGAGGGAAGGAAGGGAGAGTCAAGAACCGCAAAGGGAAGGTGCAACTAAATCTGCGTTTAAATTCAAGCCACAAGGGCCGGACGCACCAACTGATCAGAAGGATTAATTTCCTCCCGCTTCTGCCGCCAGTCAGCGAAACCTACCGCTTTGTTACAGGGCTCGGGCAGCAGAACGGCACCGTCGCGGTAATCTGCAAAGGCTGCGGGCGTCCGGGAGCCGAATGGCCGCGCGCAGCCCCATCCCTGGACGGAGAACGGTGCTGTTCAGGCGCCTCCAAATGCGCGCAGAAGGCATCCTATCCTAGCGCTCCTTTTTTTTTTCTCTTGGAAGCGCCTTAAGAGCCCACCTTCTCTCCTCTTCCCCGGCCCTTCCCTCCTGGAAACAACCTTACTTAGAAAAAGAGGAGAGGTGCAAACGCCACACCTCCACGCGCGTATCCAGTTGTGAATCATTCTATCCAGTTTACCAGGTCAGGTTAAAACCCCATCCACGTGTTCTTCCTTGGGCTATACGCTTCCTTCTTCTCATTTAATCAACCCCAACAGCCGTTTTCTCCGAAAAATCAGGATGGCTTTGGATCCGTCAAAGAACTCCGGAGAAATAAAATCTACAAGGAAAGATGGGGCGCGCGCGCGGGGGGGGGGTG